GCGCATTAGGTGACTCGTACATTGGTTTGGGTGTTAGTGGCGAGTACCATGAGGGAACGGAATCCACCAATTAAAGGTCTTTACATTTTCGGAGGAAAGCATCTTCAACGCCCCTTTGTGTCGGTTTGAATAGTTTGATTCAGCTTACGCGGAACACCCCGATAAAACATGTGGGAGGGTCTCTGCAGCTTTTCTGCACATCCTACATGTTACACCCCCTCCCCCCCCCGGGTGTTTCCTGTCTTTTATGAAGTATACCCTCTGGTCGGTGTTAGGTGCTCGTAGAGCTCCATTGCACCCACAATGACGTGAGTAGGTGCACACGTCTTGCCGTCGAGAAGAAGGCAGATGCCCGTGCCACTTTTCTGTCTTGATGTCTTTCTTGTAGCTTATTATTGCAGCTTTCATCACGTGGGTTTTTTTCTTTGTTCCTTGTATCACTACCTCTGAGCTCTTGAGCGAATAGCGCGAGGGGTCTGGATGCTTAAGGGACAGAGTCGTCCCCAGCTTCTCTGTGAACTTATCTGCTTCAGCAACCAACAATGAATGCCCTTTCTCAGCTGCTTTCTCTACAAACATCTGATCGGCCCTCATGAAGGGGCTGGGTCCTGATACGGTTTCTGACACTGAGTTAATATTGCTGTGCAACTGATCGCAAGCCACGTCCTCCCTTGTCTCTTGACAGGTACATTACAGCCGTGGAGCTGAGTCTATGTCTACCTCCACCGTTGCGAATGATGTGTCTCACCTACGTATCAGTCGATCTAAGCTCAGTGATGGACCAGTGTGCTGGGTTCAAATCTAGTAGGTAGCACAGGAAGATAACACTGGTTAGAAGCTGTTACGTAACATCAGAAGAAGACAAGAACAAATTACCGACATCTTTGCAGGTGAGCCTTTGCCGCGAGCTCAAGGGCCCGTTATCATCCTGCAGCGCATACTCCTTGAAACTTATAGGTAGACCCCGCCTTAAACCGCCGTTTGATCCAGTCTTAGATCTGCTGCGTCATGCACATGTGACCTTCTCCTGGCATTTATGACATTGCATTTCTTTGGTCTCCAGTAAAACCCCATGTGCTGCATCGCAGAGTGTTAGGTCTTATAACTGTTCAGATTGGCTTCAGATGAAGTATACAATTTGAGATCATCAATAAACATCGGATATGTTATCTTTGTGCCTATCGATATGGATAACCTATACCCCTCCATTGCACTCAAAGACCAGGCGACTAGATTTAAGTACAGCGTTAAGAGACGGAGACAGAGGGCGTCACCTCGAGGTAGACCCCACCCCTATTGAATTTAATAGCACGGGACATCTTAATTCCACCTTTAGTGAAAGCTATTATCTTGGTGTTTCAACCTTATGTCTTATTAATCTACAGAGCCAGTAAGGGAAGCGGTGCCCTTCCATAATATCACAGAGCCATTTGTCATCCACAGAATCATAAGCTTTTTTCACATGTACCCATTCCATACTCATATTTAGGTTTCCCCTGTGACAGTCCATGGTGACTATTCTGTCAATCATCAGATTATCAAGTGTGCGACTACATCCTTCTTTGGCCCCTCTCTTTCCACTCTCCATTAACGAGACAAGATGGAAATTTCTTAGACGTGTTATTTGTCGCTCATTCACACTCTATAACTCGCCTGGTTAAGGGATGAGCTTCGTTCTACCTTTTGCAAACCAATTAGAATAATCCACATTACTCTCAGAGATGGGCAAGAAAGCTTGTAGTACACCCTCATGGAGAGCATGTGCACGCTTCCATTAGTAGTTTAGTGTCTGGTCCTGGGGCACTTTAATTTCTTTTCTATCAACAGCATCCTTGTTACCATTTCCACTCTTCTCGCATAGATCCGCCCAGAAACTGCGCACCTTCTCAATATCCACGAACATACCAATATCATTGCCTTCCGTTCTAGCGCTAATAGGTATCTGTTACTTAGGAAGCTCCTCTTCCGCATTGGACAACGCACTAAACTCTGCATAAACCTCTCTTGTGTCTTGTTTGAATCGGCGGCTTAATGATCTAGCCTCGTCTTGCTTTTTGTACCTAATGTAGAGCCTTCAGCTTTTGTTGCTGCGGGTTTGTCTTTTCCATGTAATTAACCAGCTCAGTGCAAGAGATCTTAATGCATTCCTACATTAGCAGGCCTGGTTTTATTAGTATTATCCTGGTCGACAAAAACAGCGCACCAGGTGTTTAAAGAACTGATCCCATAAACTACTATAATCATGAATACTAGGGAAACACGTGAAAACATTATGGTCCAAGTTACCTACATGCGCTAAAAGTGATTATTAATTTATATCCGATCTTAACAATATTGATAGTACTCAAAGACCATTGACCTTGGGCAGTATTTAGTGAAGCGCAAAGTCTTAATTTGGGACCAAAGCCAACTCTTCGAATAAGCAGAAGATTAAGAATCCCAAATGGCAGGAGGCAGACCTCTGATGGTAGTCTTCTAGCATGTTGGAGGAGTTGAGTTCGGGACTACCGAGAAAGCTGGTAGTAACGGAAGAACTTGAACTCGGTGCCTACAGAATACATGGACGACTCTCTGACCGTTTGACCACACTGCCTCAATCTGCCCACAGGTCTGTTACATTCGATTGACTTTGCATTGTATAATTGCGCCACGGTGACTACCTTGCGATTATCCGTGGTCAATATATTCAATTGTTAATTTTCTTAGAACGTTTAAATGCTGAATGGTGAAAGAGAGCGGCACAGGCCTGTGGGTTAGCTGCAAGGGCCTGTAACTACTAAGTGAGGTAACCAAGAATTAGTTCAATATTCTTGCGTGTTTCTGAAAGAGAAGACATGCACTTTTCCTTTGGGAATTTTTTGTTTGTTTCCTTTTTCCTTTTCTTTCCTTTAGTTTTTTTTCTCCAAGAGTAAATCATCGTGGGCCAAGTGAGTAAATACAAGTTCGTGATCATCAGTGTAACTTCATATTGGTCTTGTCTTCGATGCTATAAGTTCTATTAGTTTCAAGAAGAATCCTGGTTTTTTCTAAGCCCGAAGCGTAGCGTGAAAAGGCGTAGGTTACTGCAAAGACGTGGGTTACCGCATCCTATGTGATTCGTTGATATTATGCGCTGTGCGACAGTGGAAATCCGCCGCAAGGATCATCAAAATGCTTAAAAGCACCATTTTTAAATAGACAGTGCTACTCAGGTATCAACTGTTTTCTGTCTTTTAGAACTTGTGTGCAATTGCCACATGAATGTGCCAGTTTTTTAAGTAATCTAATTTTTACGCTTTGATCACTCTTATTACTGAATGACAGATTTTAGCAATGCGTGGATGCATTCCTAGTCAGCGTATATCCGTTCACTGTGTGATTAAAATTAGGGCGAGGCAAGGGGGTCAAGGCTTCTCGCATTTCCGCCCACGTGTCTTGAACGGTATAGCAAAAAAACTGTTCTCGCGTGGCGCAATGTAGCTCAGTTGGATATTTGGCGGTCGTTTTGAATTGTTTTGCCTGAAGATGAACGAAGACTGCGTCTCAGGAGAATTTAAAGGTTTTTATTTATACTTATTTGTCGTTTTGGTATTAGGCGCAAACAAGATAAGGTTATCCTGTCCTGGCGACAAATCAGTGAACTCTTAATTTAATGCAACACTTTCGCAAATTATATGCGCTGCTTTTGGTTACTCTACTTGAGTACGAACATGCTGCGTAAGGCGAACTCAGTCATTTCTGCCACTCTTGAGTCACAAAGAAACCGTTTGTTATAGTAAGCATATGTTCCTTACAAAGGATCAGAATTTATATTATTCCGGTGTACAGGAATCTGCTGACTTTTCCTGTTTCAGTTTCTTACTCTCCATTTTGAATTGGATTCGAAAGTAAGTGTCGCTCATCATATTACCTTTCGTTTTAAAATGTATTTTGTTGTCCTTGTCGCGTAAATTGTCACAATTTACGCGACAAGGAAGGAAGGTTTAATTACAAGTTTCTTGCTAAAACACCAGTCTACAGCGCTTTTATTGAACAACAACGGAATGTGTTGTTGTCCGATTTTTGTTCAGGAAAAAAAGGTCTGCCGAAAGATATCGAATGCGACACTGGGACCATGTGTTACCCTGAGATTCATAAATTACTTGTTGGTTCAGCCTTTTTTGTCAAATCGATTGGATTGTCATGTTAGAGTTGTGGCTTGCCAATAAACAGAACGTACGGGCAGTCGAGACCGCCTTTTTAGATTGTTTTTTTTTCGGTTAATTCAAAATAGAAATTATTGCTATTCGTTATTAAAATTGTCGAACTTTATTGCCTAATTCAGTACTGCAAAAGAAAGTCCTCTTGTGAAGCTGAATTGGGTGCCACTCCATTATTTTAGAAACCCTGGTGTTTGCGGCTTTCTAAGGCACTGAGTTAAGCCCCACTCTGTGGATTAAGATGCAACCCAACTTCACCCAACATTTTCGGTTAACATGCCGGACTCGTTTGAACACACCAGTTTCACCTAACAACAGCATCCAATATTTCTTCTTTTTTGTTTGCCCTCGTTTGCCACGGATCGTTTCGTAATATGTGGACCACGTCTGAACAGCTTTCACAACAATGTTGGACGCGACCTTTCACATTTTTTTTCTCAGGCATGGCATTGTTTTTACGTTGTACATGTTACGGTCCTTTTAAATATCACACTCCAACAGACCAACACCAGTGAACATCGTCAAATTTTTTAGTCAGCTTTGTCAGTTTGACAAATTCTGCCTTCCTTACTCTCGATTTCTTTTTTTTCTATTTTGTTAAAGTATTGACTTTTCTCCCATGCATGTCTCATCCCTTTTTTCTCACACGTGGTCCACCAGCTGGCGCTTAGTCGATTTCTTTGGAAGTCAGTCAACTATGATGTTTTTTGCAATATCACTATTTACTAATCTGTAGTTTATAGTCAACATGGGCTTGTCTAGCGCTGTTGTTTACAGTGTTGCTTATATTTAAGTCCCACTGTCTTATCAGTTTCCTTGTGCAAACACTTTAGATAACTTTAGATCTTGCATACTGGCTTCGTAAATGATCAAAATGCATGTAAATGATCTCAGAGAATTCATTTAGGACGAGAAATACTTGTTGAAGAACTGACCAGATTAGTTCTGGGAGATACATGTTGGGCTTTACATGTTGTAGTCCGACTTAACATAGGCTCAATGCAAGAATGCCTACTGGACTAATATTCTTTTATTTAAATTAAAATTAGCCTTACTAGCCTCGTTCTCCAGTACAAAATTCAAACGAATACATTATCTCAAGCATGGCTAGTCAGGCTAATTTTAATTCAAACAAAAGAATATTAATCCGGCAGCCATTTTTTGAATTGGGTCCATGTCGTACATGGTCCTGGGATTGTAGGGAGCGGTTTTGAGGAGGGAGGTATTATAAGAGGATAACAATAGACAACGGGCTCTGTTAGACATAACCCTAATTTTATTTAATATTTACATCTCTATGCGCATTTGTTTTAAATTGACAGTCATCATAGATTTACAGAGTTCATTGAACAAGGACATTAACAGTTAATGTACATAATGTGATCTTTAAATATATGGATATGCCTTGAATGGAAACCAGCCTCTTAGAACACACCTTTTAATAGCACTTCAAAAATCAACTGGTCACTCTTTCGTGCACGCCGAATCAAATTTAATTTCCAACTGGCTCCTCTGGCGTAAGGAAACGGTTTATAAATATTTTCTTATAACGTTCTTCACTCGCCACTTGCACATCTCCCATAATGCACCTTATTGGCCCCACCCCCCCCCCCCCCCCACGAAAAAAAAAAAAGAAACTGCAGTAAAGCAAAACACGGAAACAATCAACGAACATAAACGAAGTGAAGAGGTTATTACCACGCATCTTGAATTTGACAAGATAGGGTTGGAAAAACTCCTCGCTCCTCTATACGGGACCCCAAAGTAAAATGAACTTACCAAACGGCCTTGTGACGCAAGGAATTTGTTTATAAATTATTCTTTATACCCTCTTTGCCCTCGCCCCTCCCCCTCCCCCACACTGCACCTTTTTTCCCCCCCCCCCCCCCCCCCCCCAAAAAAAAAAAAAAAAATTGGCATAAACACTGTTTTCAATTTCTCTTGGGACGGCTGTAATTCCCGAGGAGGAATGAAAACAAAGGGTATGCAAAATTCTGGGGGGCAAATAAGGTGCATTATGCGAGGTGTGCAAGTGGCGAATTGACATTTAGCTTATTGGGCCGAATTCTTCTTCTTACGTCATTTCACCAATTAATATTCAACAGTTCCACTAAAAATCAGACTTATCCTCATGACATAAATCATCGAACTTGAAAAAGGAGTAAAGAAAAATTTTACAACACTAAAACAAGTGGACACTTGAGTGGTCGTTTATAGCTTCCAAATATCTGTTTGCAGTAACTATAGTTTGTCTGGAACCTGAAAAGAAAAACAAAATAGGCTAATATATTCAGTTCTGCAAAGCACAGTACGATGGCAAGTGTGTGCGATAAAAAAATCACTTTTCATAATTTAATATTTAAATTGTAGAGCGCTTATTAAGTAAAAAATTGTTCCGTATTTAATCTCTGTCACTTCGAATGTCGAAGGTACTCGGGCAAATAGGGAAACCGTTACTTAAATTATGCGTTTCCTCCTAAACAACATTTTTTCCAGTGCTTCAAGGGCCCCATTTCCTTGTCCTCCTCACAACAGTGTTATGCCCATTTTGCACAAAGCTCAACCGCTCAAGAGGAATTTTGAATTAGCCAGTCCAAGAATTCTGACCCCTACTGCAGGGTAAAGGGTAAAGGAGCCTGTGTCAAATTATTATTCAGAAGTGGTCTGTTGTATGATTGTCAACAACTGTATCACATTAAAAAATTGTTTATTGTGAAGCATGTACAATGAAGGGCATATAATAGCAGTTGTTAGCCTTTTAACTCCCAGAAGTGGGCAAAATCAAAAGTTAAACAAAATTTCCCAAACTCACTTTGTAGAATGTTGGAAAACAAACAGCACCATCTGAGAATACAGCTAAAGAGGATTCATTTGAATGGTAACACCAAAGGATTTCCTCTACAGACCCAAAAGTTAGAATTATATACCAAATAAATAGCACCATGCGAAGGTACTTCTAAAGAGAATTCATTTGAATAGTCACACCCTAGGATTTTCTCCACAGACTCAAAAGTTAGAACCACATTCTAAATAAATGGCACCATGTGAAAATACTGCTGAAGAGAATAATTCATTTGAATGGTCACACCATAGGATTTTTTCCACAGACACACAAGTTAGAACTAAATACTAAATAAATTGCACCATATGAAAATACTGCTACATTTGAATGGTAATTAATTTGAATGGTAAACACCATAAGATTTTCACCACAGATTCAAAAGTTAGAAACATCTTACAAGAGCCACCATTTACTCTGGGAGAGAAAGGGTTCGGGCAAACAATTACGCATAGTATCATGCTGCAGCCCTGAAATTGCGAGTGATTTCCAATAATGCCATTTTGATATTAATTAAATCATTTCTATTAATACTTTTGTTTTACTACAGCCTTTCTGATCTGTGTTATGGAGGGCTCACTGGATTGCAGTTGCAAGTACGGCTAATGGTAAGATTAAACTTTTTAACATACCGATGGAAGAGACAAAACCCATTTCGTCTGAGACAATTTCTTCTCCTCGCTATGCCTGTGTTAAAAGTCAAAGTGAATTATCAATGGTGACATTAAGAATTCTGTTAAATTAATTGCAGTGAAAATTAGCTAGAATGAAAGAGTAAAATAAAAGACAAAAGAATTCCAGTGCAAATCTGTCATGTAAAAAATATAGTTTGAAAGAAAATAGAGTAAACTGCAAATGGAAAAAGGCAACAGAACACGCTTCAGTTACTTGTAATTCAAGTTTACACTGGCAAGATTGAGTAAAAATTATTTACTGAATAGAGAAATATAATGGGGGACGATTATTCAATTTAATTTGTACACAAAATTAACAAATTTGACAAATTAACAATAAACCGGTTTGTCACGTAGATGATTGATCACAAAAAGTAACATACTGCTCGACTCAATTATTTTCAGTTGTAACTATATGCAAAGATTGGGTGATTTGTATGGCTTGAAATTCATTGTATCCTACCCCTCAGAAGTAATCATACATTATCAATTCATTCCACCATTTTATTTAGAAAATCAAATTAACACACAGCTGAATGAACAACAATATATACCTAGCGGTTTGATCAGTATCCCTTCGTTTGGTCTAATTGCGGATTGCACTTACTATTTAATAATTTAATAGGCAGCTTTTTTACGAGAGAAAGAGTGCGTGAAATGTCGTTTTACCTAAGACAATATGGACACTGCATAACCAAGTTAAATCCGGCTTGTCCGTTGCTTCCATCACCATGTTCACGATTTTGTTGCAGGGATCTTTCTCTGAGGCGCAGTATTTGTCTATAGAACTCCTAATTCGTTAAATTTTGAAAAAAAAAAATAGCCATCGCATAAGTGAAGTGAAAGAGAGGGCCAGGCTTCAACTTAAGATTTTAGTCCTCTAGCAAACCTTTACTAGTAAGATTTTTCTCCACCACCAGGAGAGGAACATTCACTGGGAAAGTCTTTGAGGTCGGAGCAGCGGATTCTATTCAAGCATCTATAACCTCTTCCATCTAAAGGCTTAAAAACCGGTTCTCAAAACGCAAACCCCCCTCTGCTCACCATTATAGCGCCTAACGTGTAGCTGAAAGGTGCACAGATTCAACGCAAAAACAGTAGATGACGTGAAACTTGTTCAATTTCTTTTGTACCATTCAATGTTTGCACAACTTTACTGTCCGAAGTTTTTACAACAACGTGTGCTATCATCTCAACTTTCGACTGAAAAAATACTTATTCGCACATTTTTGTGAGAGAATATTGAATTGAGCCTGAATTGACTCGCAGTGTACGTACAGTAGGTAGCGCCAACGAGTAAAACTCAGTCGCAAGTGCTTAACAAATGGTTTTCAATGCCCGCAATGACAAGGCCAACGAAATGTTCATAGATTACATTTAAAGAACTTACCAAATCTCCGTTATTTTGTTCTCTTAGGCCATCCAACTGCCCAAGGTTTTCCATCTCTGAAATCCTTCTAAATGGATAAAATAAAGTTTTTTTTTTTCGATTTTTGTCCCACAACACTGCAGCTCACGTTATCTATCGGTATTCGTTGTTTTGGTGTAGAGAATCATGGGTAAATGGGTAAAATGAGTGGAATCATGGGTAAATTTGAATATCAATTAAATATCGATACTTAATGCAACTAAAGGTATTTATTGATCCGCGACTTATTTCTGGCTTATGGCTTTAGGTGTCTTTGAGATTGGAAAAAATGTTTGCGTTGAACACTTTTATGCGTGAAAGAACTTCAGATTAACTCGGATTCCTATTTCCAATTTAGAGTGGCAGTTCTTTCTTATTTCCAGGGCAGCTGTGCTTACTACAATACATGTGCATGAAATGCGCGGAAAAATAAACACAGTTGAGTGATCTCCTTGAATAGCAATGATGAAATAGCAGAATTAGTTCTTTTTACATACCATCAGATGTCCCAGTTGTTCTGTTTCTATTAACATGATCGTCGATGTTTCGACTGTCTTCATTTTGCTGTTTCTTTGTTGACTCGCTGTCTCACAATGGTCTTCGTTAGACTGTATTAACAGAGATGCTGGAACTGTCTTCTCCACTAAAAAGCAATTGACTGCGGACTTCTAATGCTTTTACATACTTCTGGATTTTGTTTCCCATTCTTGTGTTTGAGGTCAGACACAAAAAAGGGCGATAAATCCAGAAATACAAGGGCAAAAGTAAAGGCGCTAACTAAAACAGTCTTTGATCTAAGTTGACTGCTTGGCGGATTCCCTTTCACTGAAACTGTCAAGCGTCTCGTGAATTTTGTTTGTTAAGTGGACGCCTGATTTCCGTGGCATCATACGTATGAAGTCTATTGAAAAATAAGAACTAAAATATCTGAATAGGGTCATGACCTCAACCATTCAAGCGCGTCGGACTGTAAAGGCGGAATTATAAACGCCACCAAGTTAATTAATCGGTTACGTAAATCTATAATGAACATTGGTATAGAAGTCTTTTTTACATTTAAGGACGATCATGGTAGACTAACTTTACAGAAACCTCAAGAATGTAAAAATATTATGACGCCATTTGTTCTGAACATTTTCAGTATCAGGTTTTCTAACATATTATCCAGACAATTGTTTTTAGAAACTGCTTAATCTCTTTTTGAAGTCATCTGAAAGAGAGGTGCTAGGTTCTTTAAGTAAGCTTCTGGAAAGTTCTAAGCTTATCGGAGAAGCAAAGAAGCACGTCCGACCGTGCTCTCCGACGGTGTGTCGATAAAGGGAATTGTCATGTTAACAGTAACCCATCGTCATCCTGTCTTTTGTTTAGAGAGTTTACTCTCGCTTGAAATATTTTTACTTTCTATTAGCACAGAGAAACGCGAACTTAACAGCAGCGAAAGCGGCAGATGTCTTAGGAAAAGACGTACCAAGGAAACACGTAGTCAACAAGTACGTGTGCCAAACACTGCATCGTTTGTATAGGAACGGAACTTCGGGAAGTATTATCATGTTATTTTTTTGAATTTTTAGTAGAGCTTTTTGGGAACAAAATTATAAAATGTAGTTTTTGAGACGAATTAGTCTGTTTGAAGCTTCACGTGCAAAACACCCATTGGCTATGACTTTTTCATCTGTTATTAATTACGTTTTTATCATCATTATTTGATGGTTGATTTGGTCAACCCGGCTAAAGTGGTCATGCGGCTAGTTATTGGCGGCAGCTTTTTCATGTTAAAATATAGACATTGGATACCGAATCATTCAAAGAATTTCAGGAAAAGTTCTGCAAACTCTTTATTGACTGAATTGTGTCTATTTTGAACCCTTTCAACTCCACGTCGATTCACCACTAAGCATGTTGCATTTGCGACCTCTGAAAGCATCATTTTATTTTCTGTCCGGTTTACTGAAGCGCTCACCTCAACTTGAGTTGCTCTTGTTTTCCCCTGTTTATTTGTCATGGGACTGTTTGTCAAAGGACTAAATCACCTGTCTTTCGGTTCAAGCAGCCCCGTGATTTTGTGTTATTGTGGATAAATTCCTCAGTTGAAAACGTCATTTTCTTTTTCCAGCTTTATTCCCATCTTTCTTAGGTTGGCTTTTGAACTTGTGTAAAACGAAAAGAGAATTTTTGTTTGTTTTTGTTTGTTTGTTTGTTTGTTTTTAGGCTTCGGCTTTTGTCTACTGTAAAGCTCTATTTTAAGAACTCTCCAGATCTACAAAGTTGAATTTATGCCAACGTTATATTTCAATGGTATTCATCAGACTAAATCATTCAGCAAACGTCGGATAAATGGAAAATGTCCAAACCTTCTCTTGTGCAACAATACATAATCCGAACATTTGTGTACGGCATTTCATATTACAAGGTATGTCTATTCTAATCTGGAGGACAGAGGTTCGAACTTTTGCACGACTCCATATATTACCACGCGATAAATTTAATGCCATCGAAGATCAATAATCACGCACTTTCAATTACTCAGTTGGTTTTCCTTTTTGTGCGCTTTGTTTAGTGTTCGGAGCTTCAAACTGAGCCGTGGAAACAGAATTACGTTCAGCCAGTTCAATTTTATTTACAAATTCTGCTTTCTCAGAAAAAAAAAAGTATATTCACAGTTTGAGTTTTTAAGAAACGTCCGCTTTCATGAAAAATCGAAACATTTGTATACGAAAAGTTCATGTCTTAACAAGTCCATAGAAAATTAGTTAGGTTTGTTTATTATATAAACACCAATGAAATACCAAGTGAGCTTTCGCCCGAAAACTTGATATCCTCACATGTGAAAATAACATGTTATCTTCACATGTGAAAATATCACCTTTGATATGGCTTCATAACAAACCGCACCTTTCAGACCAAAAATGGTTTGGTATTTCATTGGTGTTTATATAATAAATAGAACATTATAATATATAATTTATATAATAAATAGAACATTACATGGTCGCTTGGAGATACGAAATTTCTCTTCTCGTGTTGAAAAAAATATTTCACTCGTTCGCTGCGCTCACTCGTGAAATATTTTTCAACACTCGAAGCAGAAATTTCGTATCCCCGTTCGGCCATGTAATATCCTTTACATGTTCTATTGTCGGTTGCTTTCCAAGGCCTCCCAGGGGGTAAATAGATGCCCCGTACAGTACCATAAAGTCGAGCCTCTCGTATGCGACCTTTCCTATATATGCGACCACCTCCCATAAGCAACCAACTTTCCAAAGGACCAAAATATATTCCTATAGTTAACGCCTAATAGTAAAAACCTCTCGAAAACGACTCTCTTGGTGGCGGGCAACACACGACTCCTGCACTTAGTCGAAAGGAAGTTTTCTTACCTTCAGAGCCTCGCCTCTACACCAACATACGGTACGAAACTTTGGTTCTTGAACCATCGTAGTTTGATCAAAAATAAAACCCAAGCAGCGGTGATGAACATTGTGAACTTTCGCATTTTTATAAACTTGGCGTTTCGTATGCTATTCAACATACATTTTTAAAAGTGATCTTAAGTGACCGTTTAAGATAATGGCAAGACTAATATACAAAAATTTTCAATGGGTCTGGAAATGAGATTAAGAATTCAAAATTCTTTAACGGTAATGAATACAAAATGAGACAGTTAATAAAACATCAGCTTTTCACTGCTGATGTTGACATTAGAAGCTTAAGGTCTTGTATAAACAAAGTTTCTTTTACCTTACAATGAAAACCTGTTTTGCTAGATGCTAAAATTTCAAAATGATCCCACTTAATGTTATGTCCGGTGGCAGTGACATGGTCAGCAATAGCTAAGGAGTGATCACATTTTGTTAGGAACTTAAAGTGTTCAGTCTTCCTATCATGAAGCCGTCGCTTAGTTATACCAATGTAAAAAGCATTACAATTCCAACAACAAGCTTTATACATGACTTTCGATCTTTTGAGAGCGATTTAGGCGGTCCTGGTATGGAAAGAAAAATTTAATACGGCAGGTGTTTTGAAAAATTATCTTTAAATTAACACAAGAGTAAAACTGGTAAATAGTGCAGGATTTAAGGCGTTTAGAAATTTGGTTGCTTTGAGGACCTAAATATAGAGAACGAGTTGACCCATTTTTCCTCAGGGATAGTAGAGCGGGCGAAACTCGAGAGCGCGTGAAAATCACCCCGCGCGAGAAAGGCGAGACGCGGGGGGAGAGGAAAAATGAGGGACTACAGACAAAGCCCACGAACAATCGCGTCTCGCTCGCGTTTCGCTCGCTCTACTATCCCCGAGGAAAAATGGGGACTACTAGTAGTCTAGACCTGTGAATGTATTTTCCGGTAGATAGATGTCATGAAGGAACCATGATAAATGTGTTAAGCCGGGTCCGGAGTACAGTGGAGTGATTAACTTTAACCCAAGGTTTAAGGAAATTTTAAAACCATTTCTTTGTAGTCTAGGATCATATAACCATAATTTTTTTTTTGCCTTTACCCAAAATCGTACTTGTGTTAGCCCAAAACAACGGCTCGTAACCTGCTATAAGAAAGTAAAGCGAATTGTGGATATTTTTAACCATGGATTATAACCCTAACTGGTCTTCGAAAATCAGGCTTCCGGGAATCCGTGTATTAAAAGCCAATCTTCTTATGGTTTCGTTGGCTGTTGCTGTCTTACTTTGTTGACACGGAGGTGTTGGTGGTCGGATGACGGTAAGGGGGTGCGGCTTCAATATCCTAAACTTGACTGTATGCCGAGCGAACCTCCCTAAACTACACGTGTTGGAATTTTTTTGCGGTTAAGGTAAATTTCAGTCGTAAGAGATAACGTGCTTAAAACCTGAAATTACTGGAATGTTTCAACGGCATGTACCAACTGTAAAAGTGAACATTTATTTGTTCAACAAGCACAAGCCGCCCATATATTTGGCCAGTATATTTTTCAGGCAGTAATATGAGTGGTAGACAAGGCCAACTAATTTGCTCTATGTACATGTTAAACCATCTTAAGTATACCTGAAAATCTGCCTTGCTTAATTTTTTGGAAATCAAAATATTTGTCGTCTTTAAGCTTGTGGTGTAACTAAGTTAGTAGTGGATTGCTCAGCAACATTTAGGAGCCAAATGTGAACTGAAGTATATTTAATGCTTCTAGCCTTTTTAATAACTTTCTACATTTTCTTTCAGGAAGGCATACCGTTATGCGATCAGCGGTTGTCCCTGGCAGCGTTCTCGTAGCTTGATGACGAGGCTTTTTTCATAACCTTCATAGTCATGTTTGTTCAGTGAAGGACGGAAAAAGGACAGCACACGTTCAGTTCCTGTTAGGATATTTTTGCGAGGTTTGTATCACTTATGAGTCAGTTATTTCAAAGAGTTTATCTCACATAGTTTATTTGAGGTAGACTTCTTATTGTTAAACGAGGTAAAATTAGGGAAAGGTCTTTCAGGTACCGAAAACTACGAACTGGTTGTATGCTTTGCCAGCACTCTTACTCTTTTTTTAGCACGTGGCTTCGTTCGGTTTATTTGTAATGATAATAGCACTGAGTGGGGTCCTTCCCATCCTCAAAAATGGGAGTTTAATTGCGTGTGTAATTATAGACACGAAGTTCTGGTACCAATTACTAATTTATAACATTTGAGAAAAACAAGTTGATAAAATAATTTCATCGCACTTAAGAAGACCATCTTTTTTTTGTTCATGCTTTTTTAGCTACATATACTGCTTTATTAATGCGCAAATCGAGACTGCTTTTAGCTAATCAGATTTGAGAGTTTTTAGATACTAATGAGCATCAAAGTGACTGAGTTGTTAAATTTTTTACAATATCATTGTTGAAAAGTCACGGAAACCTTTTATCAATAGGACAATTGCACGATGACATCATTTTACAACAACTTCCCGAATCCTTCAGTTTGTTGTTTTCTTGTGCAAATTAAGGCTATTGTTTTTTAAATCTCGCGAGATTGACAAATTTAAATTACTAAGCGAAGACGAAATGAATTCTGTTAGTTTTAGTCAAATGTCGTCATCGTGAAAATGGCCTTAAAAATTCGCTTTGCGGTGAACTGAAAGTAGTTGTCAATGGTTAGCGATTGTATGTCTTCGGTCCGTAAAAGTGGGTTAGTGAAATCTTCCTAAGGTATTGTTGACTATTGAATCAGCATTTTTGAGATTTGTCCATCTCTTGAGTGGTGCCTAACCTAGTAAATGGAACGTTAGGCCATGTCTACAGTATACCGGACAGCTTTTAGTGTTGACACGAAACGGTCTTCGGTATAAAATGAACAGCAACACCTCGTTCACACACATTGAATTAAATCGTGTCAGAGTGGTTGGCTGGGAGGTTTGTTGCACTAAATCCCAGTCCTCACTCCTGACTCCGTCCCAGTGGGTTCCAGTCCTCGTTCCTACTTATTCACTTCCGCTACGGTCCGAATACCTGTTCACACTACACCAGAGTGTGGCACAGTGATCCGCGCGAGATTGGCGCGACGTAGCTTCGCTCCGTTAGAGAAATCGGGCCGAAATCACCATTCTTATGAGTAAGCCCTATCCGCTATGGTTTTCGTACCGACTCAAGACCTACACAGTATATTGTGGAGATAGTCTTATTTTTAAACGAGCGTGAACCTACTTTTACCATGTAGTTTTCGCTCCTTGTAAGGGAATCCGGGAAATTTTTGCTTGTGGAACCCGGAATCCTGGGCTTTGGAATCCGCAATACAGATCAAGGAATCTGGAATCCAAGTTCCCCTGACAAAGAATCCGGAATTGACGGCGTGGAATCCAGAATTCAAGACTGTCTTGGACTCCCTTACACGGGGCGATAGTTTGTTAGTGGGGTATGGAGGCACGGTTTAGAACTGAACAAAGCTTTGGTAATTGGAATTGTTTATGCCATGCCACACTTCAGTACATACAATCAGACAACTAAGTATAAACAGGTTCATTTTTATTAACAATATTGATATCTTCCAGATATGGGCTTGGCGCGAGGGATTCACTGCGTGTTGTCCTATGTAAACATTGAAAAGTCCCCTTACTAACATAAATCCTGCGCAAGTTTATGTACAATTTCATTTTGAAATGATGGCTGCAACTCCTTGTAGTGCTCATACTATGAAATTTTTACAACTCGTCTGATACCTGAAAAAAAATAATAAATCAATTGCGTTAGGCTCATTACGGCAATTTCCATAAGAATATGGAGTGTTCCACATTACAAACGTTCCCCAATTCAATAACAGAAGTAAAACCCACAGGCTTTATATTTTTGTTTCGTTCAGGAGATGTGCATTTCAATCATAAGTCATTATTGTTAAACTACACTAACCCTCTAACTCTTTAAAGCTTTTCATCCAAACCGGTAATCAATATTTATTTTCCTCTGTGCAAATGTGTCAGAAATAAATCTTATATGAACTGCGTATGTCAAATTTGTCCAATATGCGTGTGATGAAAGCAAATTCAGGCTTCTTTTTGTAATTGCTTAAATTGACCATGAAAGTGCTACGACCATTCCTTAAAGTGAAATGTCAGTGTTTGTTGGCTTGCAGATCATTTTCTTGCATTCATTCCTGTAGACACCCTGCTACCTGCCATTGTAAACCGAAACTATTCCAGGAAGCCAATTATAATGAAGCAATGAAACGTGAGCGTCAAAAATACTGTAAAACGTCGAAGTCAAAACCAGAAGTCTTTTGTATATTTTATTCTTTCGGCCGTACAAAGACTTTAAAACAGATTGTGTTCCTTTTGAATGATTTGGAGATCTGTATATTTGTGTTAGTCTGATTTGATTTTTCAGCCATTAAGGATAACAGGCTCATGGTGTTCTGAACTAGTTTAGGACCACAAAAATCAATGTTTAATCTTTCGTTAAGGGGGAGTTTGGTTAAAAGCATTATTTTTCGTTGATTTCCAACCTTTTTCTTAAATATCTAGCCAGGCTTTCAGTCAATCAAAAAATGACACAAGTTGTAGTCCTTAATTCAATAATTATTTGAGAATTTTTGGATGATTTTTCGAATGTTTTTAAAGTGTAAAAATTGGCTGGGGGGGGGGGAGATGTTTAAAATTTTGGGAAAATTAAAGTGTAAAAATTGGCTGGGGGGGGGGGGAGATGTTTAAAATTTTGGGAAAATGGGAAAAATATGGGGTTTGTGGGTTGTTAGAAATTAAAATATCAAGTGAATAATTACTAGACAATTACCAGATAGTCCACCACCACAGCAAGGTGATTCTGATCCATCAGCGGACTAACTGGTTTATGTGTTTACCTAATCTACCCTCATATTTCCTTCCCAAATCAACATCATTTCACCCAAAAAACCTCCATACTCCCCCCCTTAAGCCAAAGTATTTTAAATCCACGCAAGGAGAGGTTTTGGGTCAATTTAGTCTTCAAGATGTCATTGAACTTTTACTTACCCAATTCAATCCTTTCCATCCATTGCCTGGGCTGTCTCTGCTTAAGGACGACAAAAATGTTAGAAAGCCGTTATGGCTTAGCCACTGGAAAAGAAATGGACTCAAAAATCGTCCCAAGAGAAATTGAAAACAATGCTTATGCAAAATTTTGGAAGGACAGCCAAGAGTATTTGGGTATTTGTGAAAAAAGGCCTATTTAGACATTTAAGGCATCGAAGATAATCAAAGCGAGGTTGTTGTTATTGTCAAAAAAAAATATGCTTGTGGACTGAAAGGAACTTTGTGTGGCTGGCAGGAAAGGAACGGAACATCTCACCTGTAGTTATATGGAGAATATATAGCTATGTGAAGTCTTGGGTAACTCGTTTCTCGTAAAGTAGGATAATGAAGTCTCGTGAAGTCCACAATATCGTTAAGAAGTTTTCGAAGGGAACGTATTACTCGGTGATATGGTCTTTCTTCATTGTCCTCATGCTGAAAAGGAAACAGCGTAAAACTTGAAAATGACCTTAAGTTTTTAAGACATGTTATTTATTTTGAGTTGACAGTCTTGGTAAAATTGATGACATACCAGTGGGTATTGATACTGATCTTCCTGGTAATCTGTTATCTGACATGTGTAGTGATTGCATTGTTGGAATTGTGATGAACTGCCCTGAAATTTCGGAAGATAAGCGTGGAAACATGGCCTCAAGATTATGAACTAAAGTAAAGTAGAGTATGGGGTTTTTCGCATATTCCCCTGATCAACAGAATTACAATATACTTTACAAAAGTAAATAAAACTAACGATTACAAGCTAGAAGCTAGGACTCGTATACACAATCGTTTAAAAAATATCATAATTTGCAAAAAAATCTACGCATTATAAGATCTATCTATGGGCAAAAACTAATAACACAGCAACGTTTCCACACTAAAACCTACCCATAAAAAATCTTTTATCCTAAATTAATCCTAAATTTCAATAAAGCAAGTGGTAAAAAGGAACGTGGGTCTAGCAAAAACTATTTTTTTTCAAGTTACAATGTACATTAAATGCTGCGCTTTTCAGTGCAATGCAAGCGCTTCTTGGTCGGATGATTTAGAGGTTTTTGTTCGCAATAAAATAATTACCAACTGCTTTATTTTTTGTTCCTTCGATAAGGTTAGCATTTTGCTTTTCTCTGTTACTTTCACGCTACATTTTCCTTTCACTCAGTCTTAAATGATGGAGGATAAACGTTCTCTGCATCGTGACAAATGTCTGCAGAGACCTTCCGTTACAAGAGTAAAATTATCTATTCACAAGTAACTCACCTCGATTCGCATTTCTTGTTTTTATTGAAACTTGGAAGAGAAAGTGAAAGTAAAGTGAAGAGATGACGTGAAATGAGGTTTTGAGCCCGTGTTCCAGATATATTTCTGCACGCATGAGAATTACTGGGTTTGAATATATTATCCAGTTATGCTTAATTTATGCAGTCAAGCGAGCTTAGTGAAATGAGATGTCATAAGATTTGATCAAACTATGGCGGTGTATACGGCTTCTCGTTCGTTTTCTTTAAGCGTCCATATAATGATTAACCGAAATTTGTGCTGAATTTTTGTCCCTCTGGTTACAATAAAATATGGCTTCTGTCGTGGAAAGAACTTGCTATCATTACTCAGTGGCTCGACAAACAGCTTTCTTAATAGTCTAAGGTTTGCAATAAGTCCCTTTACCTTTATAACTGCAACCTTGGCACTTAATTTTGTGGAAGAGACGCCTCAACGTTCTGTCTTCCCTCTGTACTTTGCATTGACCCTTCCTCGTCGCTTACTCGAAAATCTTGTTGCTTTGATGATCTTTTTTTAATCCACCCGATCGTTCTTTTTCTGGGTTCTTTGTCTGCTGCATCCTTTCTTAAACTGGACGCAGCATTTGTTTGAGTCTTCTGATGTAAATTCACTCATGAGCAGTATTCTACTCATACGCCCATTCCTACTTTGTGTTAAAATGGATGAAAGTTCCTCTAGTATGTTCGTGTGGTTCATCTGATGCTCTTGAGTGTTAACTAAGCGAAACGAAAAGCTTGCAAAACAGTTCATCCGAACAGCACACGAGCAGTCAACCTTTCTGCGCTTTCTCGGAAAATGCGGAAATATTAAATCAGTATGCATCATATCCCATATTATAGTACCAGCCCTGGTGACCTTTCAAATTAGCCGAAGGCAAACTAGTTACCATTAACCTTTCAAAAACCATGTAGTTTTGGTATTAACGTTGGCATTTTTTCGCCATTATACTGTAGGGTTTTTTTTGTAATTATAGTCATTCAAATCATCCTTTGATTCAAGGTTGTGTAAGATGTCCTTGAATTGCGTGAGGCAGTAAAGCCTGTTTATTTTGTGTCTTCAACCATGTGAATGACCTTAGCATTTGTGGGGTGTTATTAAAGCTGTGGCTTTATTCTTGTTTTGCTTTGGTTTGCATGACACAAGCGTCATTTTGAGAGATACTTAAACAGATCAAATGATGCGTTAAGCAGTTATTTTGGCGGTCTTGGTGGTTGTCTGTCTGTCACGAGATCAAGAAAAAGATTAAATTTAACACCCATCCGTTTGCTAGATAAGGGTTGTACACAGATTTTACTATTGCTGACGACTTGCGATAAAAGCAGGTATACTGTTGAAATGTTTCGCACCGCATTTCATCATTATAATGCATTGATTCGCTTACCAAAGCACCCTTGGAATCCGGGTGCGTTTAGACCGAAAGTTTTAACCTGTGTATGTTGTATTAATTTCTACGTGGGACCAGCTTAGTTAAGAATCCTTCTTCGATAACCGAAAGCTTGCAACAATCGCTGGTAAGACCTAAGAACGCGAGTGGAATTATGGAATGACACTATCACCCTCCGAATGTTTATCGATTACAAGTTATACGACATGCTTCGTTTCCTTTTCTTAATGAAATATGTAATGTTTAGAAAATGGGGAAGGAAGGGGGCGTGTGGTAGGCTGGCCAGCATATTTTAAGACAGCTTCCAATAACTTCACTTTATTTTTGACCAGAACCGATCTTACTTATACATAATCGTACCTGAACATAAATAAACAAGACATAATATTATACAAAATATTATCGTAATGGAATAGATAATAAGTCCCTTTCTTTTATTCTTAAACTCTGTCATCTGTTCATTACCATACATGAACATAAATACTCTCTGGAGATATGAAATAAGTCCATTATTTATAAATCTGGCTTAGACTTTCAAATTATATTAAAGTCTTCTCTTTCGCCATTTTAATCAATATCTTTTGGATGGCTAACTTGGGGTCAAGTACATAAATTTTGATGGGTTCTTCCAGTCAGTAGCTAGCTAGCACACCAAAATTTTTTAAATAATAAGTATTTTTAAATTACTTCACATAAATATGGTAGTATACAATAATCTCTCTCGCCGTAGGAAAACTTCCAAACTTTTCATCCTGATTGCCATATTTTTGCTGTTAAAACAAATAAGAAAGAGGAAGATTACTTTAGTATTACACTTTCAAACAAGATAGTTCAAGAAGGCAATGCTCCAGTTTCGAATTTGCTGCGGCCGCTGAATAGAAGCACTGAAGACTCATGTTTACAGGGTTAGCCTCGACCTAAGGTAAATTTAGTCACAAATTCCAGTCAGACGAATACCTGTATGTAATTGTGTCTATTGTCTTAAACACAATTTCAGGCACCTTCTCGCCTTTTTTTAATATTTTACTTTAGATCTATGTTAACCCTGTATAAATGAGACTACAGTGCTTCTAGAAAGCCAGCAACATGCTTGTAAATAGCAAAATTTCATTTATTCACTTTCCTATCTTCATCTACTCCGGATATAACACGAACTCATTGAGTGGCCAGATGCTAGTAGGCTCTTTAGCTCAGTGACAAGAGCACTGCACCTGTATCACAGTGGTGATGGGTTTTGAATCCCTTTAAAGTCTGAATTTTTTTGAAGGTTTTCTTTTCGCGACTGCTTATTTGCGTACGTAGCTTCGCCCCCTGCAGTTCTAGAATAAAATTGCATCCGTTCAATTTCATACTATTAAGTTTTGGCTTGAATGTAGATATGTGGTGATACTGTTAAAAAGTTTGGCACGTTTTGTATTGTAATGTTAACGTTCTTTTTTCTTTTCTTAAATCCCTTAGATTCCAAAGAAGAATTGGATCTTGGAAGATAAAGGCTAACAACCATTGCTGAAGGTGATGTTTTCTAGACCTATTGGTCTCACAATGTTTGCTCAAATTGAAATCAAGCTGGATCACTTGAATCTATATTGTGTGGATATTACATGGATCACTGGACAACTCCTCTGTTTCAGTCGCTTTCTTCAGGAGTTTGATTGTGATTTGACGACAATGGAGGCAGGTTAATAATGATGTTGCTGAATGTTCAAATAATGAATTTGTTTAATGGTTCTTCTGGAGTTTGACTGTGAATTTGATGGCAATGATGAGATGTAAATAATAATGATGATGATGATGATGATAGTGGTGGTGGTAGTGCATGTTAAAAGTGAGAGCGATGATCTTGATGATCATGGTGATGGAATTAGAATGATAATTATTTGTTAATAGCGATGATAATATGGTGGTGGTGATGGTGGTGGTGATTATGATGATGAAAGTTACAACGAGCACTTTTAATGCTTGTTCTGGAGTTTTATTGTGACTTGATGGCATGTAAATAATAATGATGATGGTTATGGTACATGTTAATAGTGAGGATGACCATGATAATGGTGACGATGACATGATAATGATGATGACAATGATGACACATTCCAACAGATGCTTGTAAGTCTTGAATGCTTAGATAAAATGTGTTTGGGAAAGAAGTAGAGATATATATAAAAGAAAGAAGAAGTAGAAATGTTTAAAATATAAGAACAAAGTGAGCCTTTTGGTCAAGAAGTCAATTCAAAACTAATCCTGGTAATCCGTGTCTATTTTGTGGCAAGGAGAGAAAATCCTGTGCTACGTGTTGTGTTCTTGTGCATTGAGGCTTACAAGAGGTACTACACAGATTATCACAAGCCTTGCTTCCCTCTTTTGACAATTTTGACCCACCTCTGTTGCTCTTTTTTCAGCACCTGTTGTTATATTACAATGCCATCGTAACTCCCTCTTCCAGTCGAATCCTATAAAATATCGATAACAGAATTATGAAAGAAGCAGAGAAGGGGCTTTGGATTTTGGGTATTTCCAAGACTAAAAGAGAGGTGATTGTTGCTGGTTGGGAAGAAGAATAAGGGGAGTGGTGTAAAGCTTCCAGTAGATGTTTACACTGATTTTGCATGGAATGCATGGAATGGCAAGTTTGAGGAATGGTTTATCCTTATTTAGTCACTTTTTGCAGTGGTAGTGGTGGTGGTAGTGGTATTATGAGCCACAATAATCTAAAATTTACCTCTCTTGTTCATCATTGTTCTCAATCTCCTGTCTTATTTGGGCTGTTTCCACCTATAATTGAGAAAACATTCCAGTTAACAGTTGGTAACTTAACAAGCGCCTTGATCATGGGGTAATCACTTCTGAATATCATAATGAGATGCCTTGGTACTTACTCGAACATTTTGCAGAACGTCGTTCTCCCAATTTTCCCTGAAAATGAACATTAACTGAATTAATAGTCTTGCCATGAACATAATAGAGGTCCGAAAAGTTGGAGTGTGATCTGGACGCAAAGCTTTTCTTAATCTAAACTTTACCTTTCTTGTTCATCATTGTTCTCAAACTCCTGTCTTATTTCAGCTGTTTCCGTCTATAATTGAGGAAACATTCCAGTTAACAGTTGGTACCTTAACAAGCTCCTTGATCGTGGGGAAATCACTTCTGAATATCATAATGAGATACCTTGGTACTTACTTGAACATGTTGTAGAACGTTGTTCTCCCAATTTTCCCTGGAAATGAACGTTAAGTGAGTTATTAGATATCTTGCCATGAACATAATAGAGGTCCGAAAAGTGGGAGTGTGATCCGGACGCAAAGCTTCTCTTAATGTTGTGTGCCTATGTCACCTGCTTCAGTGAACGTCACCACAAGAAGATTGGAAGGCTTAGTGCGTCTTGCATCTAAGCTGCCCCTTGGATTCGAAAATGAACCGTTTTGTGGTTCTTACAGGAAAATGCAGGCTTCAAAGTGGCGGGCAATGTCTTGCAAAAAGATTACAGACCGCAACAACGAAATTTAACTGTAGAACGTGTGCATCATCGAGTAAAAAATCCACCATTTTAACCTCTTATCACTGGATACCAAGGACTAAACATATATATAAATATCAAAGAAGACTATCCGTCTGTAAGAATAGAGCACTCTCTCCAAGAAGCGCTTTTTTACATGTTCTTAACTCACCATGAGATTGAGTAGTGAGTGGAAACAAACTATTTAAAAACAATAGTTATTTAGTGTTATGTCAAAACAATATTATGTTGAATATTGCCATATTATCGCGGAGTGATATTCCGTGCTTTGTTTCGTATGAACAGAGATCAAAAGATACACAAATCATTAAATATTCGTAATTCTGAATATTTGTCCATAACAAACATGCGATTCGAATGACCTACCAAAGCGGTTCTTACCTTTGTCGCTGTATGAAAAGCAGGTGGTGCCGTCTGATGAGAATTACCTACAACCGAAAAAGTACTGATTTATATGGTGAGAAATGGACGTGTGCCTTGCTAACAAGACAAATATTGGGGACCTAAGTTACCTGACAGCGAAGAATAACCTCCTCCTTGGTTTCCATATTACCAAATTTCTCAGTAATCATCAATGGGGAAAGACATGTCTGCAGAAAGAAAATAAAATGGCCGAAAGATTACCTTTGGAAGGGTCACATGACACCAATCGATACCTGTTCGGCGATGCACCTCGTCGGTAGAGATGATAATGCATCGGCAGGAATCACGAAATGCGACGGAAATAGAGCGGGTTTTGGATGACACATTGTGTTTCTTTTATGTTTAAAGTTCTTCTTCTTGTATCATTCCTTGACACTGTTAAAAAACTGTCAGTCTGATCCCAACGACGTGTAGACTCTCCAAATGTAACGACTGCCATGATTCCTTTTTTTAATGACTGAGGACTGTTATCATTCCTGTGGTGATTAATTAAGTTACGTGACGTGCTCCCTTTTCTTTCTTAAACTTTTCAGATCAAAATAACAAACTCGATCTGCCTTGAGAACTCAGCAAATGCGTTTAGTTACTGACTTAGTACTGAGCAAACGCGTGTTAGTTCAACAGAGTGTCGATTCGAGTGAAGTGACAAGGGAATTTGAACTGGTTGATCGCATGAGGAAATCATAAGAGGCTTTGGTTTTGAGGTCAAAAGATGATTGACGCCCTACCGACAAGAAATGCATACTTGTTGATTTAGGAATTATGTCGCCACTGGAAGTTCCGTTATCTAAGGAGGATAATCATGGTTGACCTTGAAAGTATACAGCTCTTTTCCATTACAGTCGCGTTTAATCAGTGTACAATAGAACGTTTCCCTAAGAAGACAGAAACTTACGTTTGTCTTGAGAAGTAGCCTTTGGATGAAATCTTAACAGTGCAATGTACTTTACATAAGTAATTTCCCTCTGTAAAACTAGAGCCCTTTTCTTAGACATTTTGATTTTGATTGTGTTTGTTTCAATACATATTTTCCCAAATTAACTGAACATTCAAAAACGTTAAAGTTCAAATACTAAGATGGACTGTTTATTTTAGTAGCATTGTCTGTGGTAACGAACCGTCTCCCATATTTAATGACGTGACGACTATTGCACGCATGACAGTTAGTTTCACAACTGGATGTAATTAACACAATTTCAGGGGCTGTATAAATTTTTCTGATGTATTAACCAATCGTGCTTCCTCTGTATTGTTTTAGGGGCCTGGATATGAGTGTTTCCACTTACGCAGCAACCTTCTTAAAGGTGTTCGCCATTTGGTTCATTTGATCACTTGACGATACCGGCTCAGGGGCCCGTTTCTCGAAAGTCCCGGTAACTTTACGGGCCCGAAATCAAATATTCAAATCGAAATATAAAGAATAAGAGCGCGGGTCCTGGCTAGCAGACTACTCCATTTTATTTCACTAACTGATAGTTTTATCATGCTAGATGCAAAACTATTGAAACTTCGATCTTTAATGTAAACGGAGACAGCTTACCGGGCCCGTTAATTATCGGGACTTTCGAGAAACGGGCCCCAGGTGTCCTGTATAAGCACTTCGGGTCACTTGATTGCTGCGTAGGCTCTCAGAAGGCTTTTCGCAACAGATAGAGGATCCCAGACTGGTTATGTACTCATAGCTCAACAAAAAAATCATCTTATTTGAGTTAATTGCTAATAAATTTTAGCTGATAATAAACCAATAAAGTCAGTAAAAAAAGACGTACATTTAGCATCAGATGGCTGCCCCCAACTTAAAGAATTATTAGCTTCTTCTACCGCTAAATGAATATGGGAAAATAAGGTAATTTTTTTTAATTTGTAATTTGCTTACCCACAGAGCACTTGGGAGTTGAGACGTGTCCGGTCGTTCCAGATCGAACTGGAATTTAGAAGTGTTGGTTTTTAAGGAGAGGGGGGAACCGGAGTACCCGGAGAAAAACCTCTCGGAGCCAAGGAGAGAACCAGCAACAAATTCAACCTACAAATGGCGTCGACGCCAGGATTTGAACCCGGACCACATTGGTGGTAGGCGAGTGCTTTCACCACTGCGCCATCCTTGCCACCTAAAATGGCTTATAAAGGCTTCAAGATTGTGATTTAGGCTGCTGATCTGTTATTGAAATGGATCCAAGGAGCACTGCTCAGTGAACAAATGATGAAAGAAGATTGTCCCATTGTTTCATTCTTCTGAGAGAGAAGAGGAGGCGCTCGGAATACTTGAAGTTTGGAAAGAACCTGTCAGAGTTGGTGTGCCTGGTTGCCCTAGAAGAGGAAATCTTTTGTTTGCACAGAAATAAGACTACTTTTGCGTGCACAAAAATGAGAACTGATTTTGAACAGTGTGGTCAGTAATATCAACACGTCGCTGCTCCAGTTATCTCAAGCCCAGTTCAGTCTGTATAGCAGTGACGCCTGATGTGTTGCGGTATCCTTGTCATGTCCGCTTGTAGCTGTACGCAGGCCAGTAATTAATGAAGGGGCGTACGAGGCGTTTTTTGTCTTTAAACTGAGATCTAGTGAATGAACTCTCAAAATTCCTCTTAATAAATCGTGGTCTGTGGAACTGATCTTCAGAAACGTACATCCCTTAATGGTTTAATTGTTTCAGAGGGAACCTTTGCAAATGATAGGTGAAAGAGATTGGAGTGATACGCGGAGTACCTCGTTTTTGTTGTTATACAACCCCAATTCGCAACTTTCCTCAAACAGTTGAATAGTCCAGTTTCGAATTAAAAATTGCCGCTGAATATAAACATTAACGAGACATTCATACAGGGTTAGCCTCGACATAAAGTAAAATATTCAGAAATTCTGGCAAGTACGTGTTTGAAATTTGAATATACACAATAGACAGAGTAATAAACAGGTCTTTTTCTCGTTGGAATTTGTGAATATATTACTACAGATTGAGGCTAAGGCTGTAAAAAATGCGTCTTCACTGCTTTAATTCAGCGGTCATAGCGAACTCGAAAATGGACTATTACAGTTCGAGGTCTTTTGCAGTTGAATTTAGACACGATCTTTTGCTTCTGGATTTAAACTCAACTCAACTAAACTTTTGCAGTTGAGTTAAAACACAACCTCCCAGGAACAGGGTGGCTTGTTCGAAGATAAAGGTCTTCACAAGGTCCTGTCGTCAGACATGCTCACTATTGGTTGACAAATTTTGTTGACACAAAGGCAAAGCTGTCCAAGGAAGGAGACCCTTCTAAGACGCTGCATCAAATTGTCTTTGGTATCCTATTCTCTCTTGCCTACCTGTGCTGAAAGAATCCACGGGGCGCCCAACATTGAATGCTTGGGCTTCAAGGGGCAAAAAGTGTAGTTTGGTTGGCATTTTAATATTGAAATACTAGTTTGTATAGTTGTTAATTTTGGGGGGTGGGGACTTGATAACTGTACTTAAGTGTCACAAACCATGAACTATGCGCACGCATAGTGTAAAATAAATAATAAAATGCATTATTGAATGGTGTTTTGGAACGTATTGTCTGCTTGAAATATCATTAAAAGTTATTTTGCCATGTTGTTGCCTTGTTGTTTCACGGATATGACCGGGTTCAAAGCTGGTGATCGGTGCGAAATTTGAATTCAGATATGAAAGCTTAAAAAGCAAATTCAGTTTTATTCTTTTTGGGTACAATTTAATGATTACATGCTCCCCCAAAAAAAGTAGAAGAAAAGAGAACCCCGGATCACGTTGAAAAATTTCCATGCTACTGGAACATAAAAATTCATATCATCTCGCCACTGTGTGATATCCTTTGTCATATCCGGATTCGTCAATACAGTCAACTCTCTCTAAAACGGACACCTTCGGGACCGGCCCCGTGTCCGTCTTAGAGAGGTGTCCATCTTATAGAGATTCGAGGTAACGTGACACCATTAAAAACTTAAGCTGAACACACGTCTGTTTTACTTTTGCAAAACAGCTAAAACTTAAACATTGTGACAGAAAAGTAGAATCATTTTCTCAATAAGCCATCAGACGTTCATTGCAAGCGAACGTTCACGGCTTCGTGGTCTAAAAGCGTCACAGTGTACACTCTGCGAATCGGGAGAAAGACAGCAAAATAGGAAAGATTTTGGAATTTGCTATCATTTAGAGCACCTACAGTTGCCGTTTCGTGGTATTTTTCACTGCATAAAGCTCTTCTTAAGTGTCCCTTGTCCGTCTTATACAATGTCGTAAACGCTAGCAGAGTGCTTTTATGTAACCTATGTTGATATTTAACTTTCCTGGGGAAAAAAATATTCTTTCTTCACTGCTAGCTAGCAAGACTTTCAGAAAATAATAATCCCAGCCATCGATCACGTGTGACGGTTTTTAGCCAGCCACCAAGGTTAGAAAAAAGAGTATGTAGATTTAGCCAGGGCTAAAAGCGAAGCTCTCGATAATATATATAGTTTTTTCAAACAAAATATAAAATCGTGCAATGCTAAGCGGTGAATGCATGCAACGCCGGAAAACGGTGAAAAACAACATTAGGTCTAATTAGCAAGAGCAACTTTGCACGTGCAGCACACTTTTTTGTACATTTTTTTGCCGTTGTTTTGCACGACTACAACGTGAAACTTCCAGAAACTTCTTAGTCACATGTTTTATGGAGGAAATGTCGTACGTGTGCCCGTTCACTTGCTTTTCATTGCCGCTCATTTTCACCTTGCATTGGTGGCCGCTAGCATTTCTCATTTTGTCACCTACAAAATTTTTATGTTGTTCTTCCAACAAAAAAATGTCTTCGGTTTTTTATCTCTCGCTCTAAATCACTGTCGCCCTTTTTCTCGTTGAACTTCGCTGGCCTGCCGCCCACTCTCTCTTTTCTCTGTCTTTCTCTTGCTCTATATTCCAAATTTGTGGACACGACAATTTATCTAAACTGAATACTTTAGACAACAGGGATACAAAAACAATTTCCGCTTTCCGTTTTCGTCTTTAATGACTCTTGTTGTCTCAGCTTTACAAGACGCCGGTGGCTATGCGATTTTGCGCCAAAATAACCTCGAGTTGCTTATTTTACATTGGTATGCCTATGGTTCGGACGGACGGTCTCTCGGGCGGGCGGTCGGTCGGTGTACG